GAGCCCCTCTGCGCTGCTTCCCAGCCCTCCCGGGGCTCCGTGTGGCTCCGAGGAGAATTGTGTCCTGGCAGGGGGGCAGCAAGCGAGCAAACAGGCGCTGCCGTGCCTGGTGTTTGCCTGCAGGGCCGTGGGACTGTCCAGGGAGGGTTTCTGTGCAGGGCTGACGAGCATCAGGATGATCCAAGCGTTGGAGAGCTGCAGCCTAAAGGACCTGCTCTGTAAAAGGAGTTTTCTCATCCCCTGAAATTAACTCTTCCCAGCCCGCTGATGTAGTCCCAGATGTCCAAAGGCAGCAGGAGGGCTGCTGGACTGGGGGTGAATCCAGCTTCTGTGCTGGGTCCTGGCCAGGCTGCTCGTGGAGCCGGCTGGGATCCTGCAGCCGCCGGGGCTCTCTCCTCCCCGCCGTGCTGCTGGTGCCTTGCCCGGAGCCCTGGCCGCCTCTCGCCGCTCGTGGCGGCAGCTTGGCAGCCCTGGAGCTGGCTCTGCCTCGCTGGCAGGCAGAGCCCGCGCCGGCCCAGCAGGAAGGTGCTCCTGGGTAGGGCTGCTTTTGCCAACGTGGCCTCCACCCAAAAACACGAGGCTGGAGCAGTAGCTCAGCCCACGGAGACGCAGCGGGCTGGCTGCTCGCCAGGTTGACTCACCGGCCCTGGCATCGGGTACTGCTTGGAGGGGAGGACGGGGGATACTCTGTTTCACGCTGCGATGGTTGGGTGGTGGCTTTACACGGCCGCCTCCCCGAGATCAGCACTGGCCGCTTTGGGCCAGCGTTTCTACACAGAGGATGGAGCGCGAGGTCCCCAGCCCTTCTAACGGCATCTCCCCTGCTTCTGTGACAGGACCGTGGGTGGCAGCAGCAGCAGAAGCGACCTGCAGGCCGCGCTCCGGCCTCCCCGGACCCAGCGGTATGCCGTGTGGGTCTCGGCAGCTCCCATGGCTTTCCTGTCCAGGTTCTCCAGGAATGGCACCAGGTCCCCGAGCCGGGGCGCGCGAGACGAGCGCGGCCACCAGCCCATCCTCAGCGTCTTCGAGCTCGAAAGGCTGCTGTACACGGGAAAGACGGCCTGTAACCACGCCGATGAGGTCTGGCCAGGCCTCTACCTGGGAGACCAGTAGGTAGCGGCCGGCCTTGAGAACGTGGGGCTAGGGAATGTGGGAGAGGAGGGACGGGAAGTGTGAGTGAGGGAAAGGGTGTGAGGGGGCTCCTGGACGTGACGGGTTCGATGTGGAGAGGAGGATGAGGATGGAGCACTGGGAGCGCCTCTTGGTAGGGTGAGTGGAGGTGGTGCATCTGAGAGACAGACCTGGAGACTGAATTCAAAGGCAAGAATCTCTGCCATAAATATTTGCCCAGGACAGCCCTTAAACTGTCGTTGGAAACATTTCTTTAATGAAACCAAGTTTCTTGCACGATAACTGGATTTTTCCATAGCTTTGTTTGTTGTTGAAGCAGTGCCAGTGCCACTGTGCAGTACAAGGGGTCCCTGGCACGCCAGCAGGTAAAGCAGGAGCCTGTCTGCTGTGCTTAGGCCTTTAGTTTTCCTCTCTTGCTCCTCGGTGGCAGGGATATAGCAGCGAACCGCCGCGAGCTGGCGCACCTGCGCATCACCCACGTGCTCAACGCCTCGCACAGCAAGTGGAGAGGCGGCGCCGAGTACTACGAGGGCACCGGCATCCGCTACCTGGGCATCGAGGCCCACGACTCGCCCTCCTTCGACATGAGCCCCTACTTCTACCCTGCTGCTGACTTCATCCACCAGGCGCTCCATGAAGGTTGGTGCAGGGAGGGCCAGGAGAGACGTGCGGAGCAGGGAGGGCAGGGACTCAGCAGCTGGGAGGCTGCTTTGGGACCCTGCTGTGAGAATCCCTTAGAAAGGGCGTTCTGTCTTGGGTGGTGTTTCCTGCACAGGATCAGCCCTTCCAAAGAGGAATTGGGCTGGGTCAGGTTGCCGTCCCTGCCAGTGTCCTTGGCTGTGACTGCCCCGTTCAGGTCGTTTTGGGAGGCAGTGATGCTGTGATACCCCGTGCCGAGGTAGGGACCTCAGCGCACCACAGAGCCAGTCTCACCAAGGCCCAGTGTTTAGGCCAGGAGGGCAGCACCCCTGGGCCCCAGCTCCACCATGCACCACAGCAAATAGTTGGGTTCTGAGTATTTTTTGTTTTCACTGGGACATTTGGCCTGCCATGACAGCCGCTGTGCTTCCCTCCGCCCCAGGAAGGATCCTGGTGCACTGTGCCGTCGGGGTGAGCAGGTCGGCCACCTTGGTGCTCGCCTACCTCATGATCCGCCACCACATGCCCCTGGTCGAAGCCATAAAGACGGTCAAGGACCACCGCGGGATCATCCCCAATCGGGGCTTCCTGCGCCAGCTGGTCGCGCTGGACAACGCGCTGAGGCTGAAGAGGAGCATGTGAAGGAGGGCGAGCGGCTGTGCAGGTGCTTGGCAGCTAATGGGTTAAACGTGCAGTGGCCTCCCGCCTCCCCAGCTAAGAGGTGTCCCAGACCCATGAGCTGTTCCTCGGTGTAAAACAGAAACCCTCAACCTGTGATCTTGCCACCTCGGTAGGCCTAACATGAGCTCCCTCCCAGCCTGCTCGCGCAAAGACGCATTCAGAGGGGATATCTTAGACCCACGTTCCAGGTTGTTCCCTAGCCCTGCTGGCTCTGCGCAGCCTTCGAGGGCTGGTTCTCCCACCAGGTCTGTCCCATCCCTCTCTCCAGGAGACCCAAGCTCTGCCTGTTCCTTGTTTTCCATTTGTTCTTTGGTCCGCGTGTGCCTGTGTCCAACAGGCCTTTTGTCGTGGTGTTTGGGTGTCCTCAGTGCCTAGTGTTAACGTGTAAGAATAAAGACACTGCTCAAGAAAAAAATCCGGCCGTATCTCCTCTGCTTCGAGACACAATCCGGGTTTCCCAGCCGCAGGTGCCTGCTCCAGTGGCTCGAGGGCAAGATGTGTCCCATGTGCAACAAGGCCATGGTGAGTGGCACGGAGTCATCGCTCTCCCCCTGCCTTTCTCTGTAAATTGTATTTTTGTACACAATTTGTGTACAGAATATTCCCTGCATGTTCTCAGGCTCCTGACATGCCTGTCACAGTGGAGGATGTGCAGTTTTGTGTAAAACACGGATGAAACGGAAGATTTCCTCACCCCGTGTCAGCTGTGGGGACTCACCAGGGAGGTGGGGGGCGGCAGCGTTTGGAGAAAACGCGAAAGGTGACGTGGAAATTGCTCTCTCGCTGCGGGGAGCCACAGGGTGGCTTTTGAAAGTGCCCAAAATGGACATGCCTGTCACAGTGGAGGATGTGCAGTTTTGTGTAAAACACGGATGAAACGGAAGATTTCCTCACCCCGTGTCAGCTGTGGGGACTCACCAGGGAGGTGGGGGGCGGCAGCGTTTGGAGAAAACGCGAAAGGTGACGTGGAAATTGCTCTCTCGCTGCGGGGAGCCACAGGGTGGCTTTTGAAAGTGCCCAAAATGGCCTCAAATAGCCCCAAGGGGGAAATGGCGACGCGCCCCTATTCATATATAGCTT